TTGAAAGTGATGAAAAGCAAGGACCTACAACCAAGATTACTCTACTCAGCAAAGCTATCATTTAGAATTGAGGGTCAGATAAAGAGCTTCACAGATAAGAAAAAGCTAAAGAAGTTCATCACCTCTAAACCATATTACATGAAATGCTGCTGAAGGGTATTCTTTAAGAAGAGGAAGAAGAAAAAGGTAAAGATAAAAATTAAGAACAACGAAGTGACAACAAATACATATCTCTCAACAAGTGAATCTAAAAATCAAGTTAATAAAAAATCTGATCATCAGAATAAACTGGTGAATATAATAGAATCAGGGGCATAGAAAGGGAGTGGACTGACAATTCTCTGGGGAAGGGGTGTGGAGGGGCGGGAATAGACTGGACAAAAATAGAACACCTATGAATGAAGACAATGGGGGTGGGTAAGTGCATGGGGTGGGGTGGGAACTGGGTGGAGGGGAGCTATGGAGAGAAAAAAGAAGAACAACTGTAATAATCTGAACAATAAAGACTTATTTTTTAAAAATTAAAAATAAAAAGGTGCTTATCACTAGAAAATAAAATAAAATAAAGTCTATCTTAAGGCCTAGCTGGCGTGGATCAGTGGTTAAGCATCGACCTATGGACTAGGAGATCATAGTTCAATTCCTGGTTAGGCCATATGCCGGGTTACGGGCCCAATCCCAGATGAGGGATGTGCAGAAGGCAACTGATCAATGATTCTCTCTCATCATTGATGTTTCTATTTCTCTCTACCTTCCTCTCTGAAGTCAAAAATGTGATTTTTTTAAATAAAATAAAAATAAAGTGTATCTTAGTAATCACCAACATGAGTAAATATCCAATTGAAACAAATATGTTTGTATTTTCTATACCTTTGAAAATTAGAACCAAAAATATGAACAGAAACAGTTATCTAACAGCATCCTTCACACACACACACACATACACACACACACACACATATTCCTGAAATTTCCCTGCTGCTAACCTGTTAGCTATTTGAATAAACATTATTTCTGCCACACATATTAGCACCAACTAGTACCTTGTAGTCAGTTAAAAAAATCTTTATCAAAGTTAGAGCATGGTATTATTTTGACACCAGACAGTCCTTTGCTTTTGTGTGGAATCACTGTGTTGCCTGAACAGTGTGTGATTTTGCTTTTGTGCAGACAATCAGCAGGTCATTAGCGTATCGTTCAAATCGCCCCGAACTCAGGATGGAACCCCAGGGACCTGAAAGCAGAATAGACTGAAGAGAAGATGTGGTGTTGCTGACAGTTACCTCTGATGGCAGTTAAAAAGGTATGATTGCAACCACATGACAGCTTAATGCAACAGATCCCTGATCTGTTCACATGACAAATTCTGATTAATGGGATTAGTAATCATTATTAATTTTTAAGTTTTGGTGGAGCAGTCCATTACATCCTACTATTAGAATACTGGCAGGGTCCTCCATGAAATAACCATGTTCTATCATTATTTTACTGCCTCTGGTTCTACATATTGGTGGACTTAATATCACCCATAATTTATTCATATGGGGGTGGGGAGAAAGTCCTACTGCATATTTAAAAGGTCCATGAAGAAATTTTTGCATTAGAAAGTGAGAGTGAGATAAACTGAAACTAGGTACGAGCCAGAATTTGCCATTTTTACCCATGAACATATGCATGTACACAGACACACACAGACACACACACACACACACACACACACACACAGGATGAGGTGGTTACTTCACTATATCCACATCTGGCAATGATGTGCACATAGTGAAAAGATTTCAGATCCCCTCCAGAAAGCCCTTAGGCTACAAGGAAAATCATCCTACATCTAATAAACCCATCTGAGATATATCTCCCATATGGCAAAGCCCTGTTTTGCTTTATTCCAACAAATTGGTCTTTGGATCCCTCTCACAGCTGCTGCTGCTATTGTTTAAGATGGATTGAACCCTGGCAATGGGCTCAATACTGTGCACTGCCATCAGGACTCCCCCATCACTGGGCTGCGCAAGCACTGTGATGTCACCTGGGAGGAGTACTGAGCACCTGGGGTATTTAAAGTCCTAACACATCATAAACACTCAACAACAGCAAAAAAAAAAAAAAAAAACTTTTAGAAAAAAATAGAATATTCTGGGAATAGGTTTCTAAACCAGATTACCACCAAGACAATTGTATGTGAAAATAGGCAAATGAATAAGTAACTTTTCCTCAGAATACTTTGCTATTCTCCACTACGGTTTGGTTTAGATTGAGAAACACGAAGTGTGCCAGCTAACTAGCACAGGAGGCACAGAGAAAAATGTGCCCCCTCCCTGGTGAAGTGCCCCTCCTCTGGAGAAATGGGACACCTAGGATTCTTTCCAAGCATGCTCCTCTACCATGGCAATGGCATTTAGAATGTTTTTATACAACTCCATATACAGAATTCAATCCTGGGAAAGGAAAACATTTGCTCTTCTTAGTAGTTTTTCCCAGCTTTATTGATGTATAATTAACATATAAAATTGTAAATTATTTAAAGTGTACATCATGACAATTTGATACACATCTATACTGGGAAAGGATTTCCCCGATTTAGTTCATTAACACATCCATCACCTCACATATTTATCATTTGTTTCTTGTGGGGGAGGGTTCTTGTTGAGAACATTTAAGTTCTACTCTCTCAGCAAATTTCAATTATACAATACAGTGTTATCAACTGTAGTCACCATGTTACACGTTAGATCCTCAGACCCCCTCCCCTTCCTATTTTCACCACCACCCCAAATTAAGTTACTTGATTTTTTTCATAATTTATAGCTTCCTTAAGTAGGAAAATCATCTTTTTTATTTTGCTCTGACTCTACCAGAATTGGAGGATGTTTTCAATATACTAAAATTAAATAAATAAATAAATAAATAAGAACTAAATTTATGCTCAATACAAAAGAAAGCCTATTATAGCAAGCCCATAGTTACAATTCTAACCTCACGTATAAAATATATCACAACTGTCACAAAATGAAATGACCAATACTAGGAGATAATTCCAAATCCTTTTGATCTAACTGGATAGGTCATCACAGGCACATGGCCAGGATTTTCTCAACACTTTGAACTGTTCAGTATCATTGCTCCCCTTGTGGGGGGTTTTCCTTTCCAATTTTATCAAATTTCATCATATTCCTTTCTGAAATTTAAATAAGGTAAGAGGCCTTGCCTGGTCCATATTAACTTAGGACCGTTTCTTATTATTAATTTGGGATTCAGAAGCTCACTCTTCCTCCTTTTCCTTTTCATCTTCCTTACTCTACTAGCCAGCTTTCCCTCTGGCTTGTTTTCTTCTAAAGTTAAAGTTATCTTTTTCCATGTTTTGAGTATTAATTTAAAAGCTCCCTTTTCCTATGCTCTAAGAAAGAAGAATAGCAAAAAAAAAGTAATAATAATAAAAATATGTATGGATGATAGGATTGAAAGGATGAACAAAGATGAAAAAACAAGAATGTTGAGGCACCCTCAACCTTTTTTTTTTTTTTAGCTTCTATTTCTGTGGGTGGCCAGAAACTGAAGACTTTCTAAAAAGACTCAAAGGAAAACAATGCTCAGAGGAAATAATGCTGGAGAGGTGCTAAGAGACACTGTTAAAGGGAGCAACCCATCTCAATTTTCTTCTTCCTCTGACCCCTTTCTACAACCCATTTGCAATGGCCTTTATATACCTGGTGGGACTGAACTTTTTGGAAGCTCAGAATACATAGAAGTTAGGGGGCATAAGGTAAAATTCCACTTAGCAAAAAAAAGTACCTTCCCCAGGGCCTCTAGATTCATTGCTCAAGTGCTTTCCACTGCACCCCACCCATCCTCCCAGGCCAAACACACACCACTGGGCCACCCCAACACCTGAACTTCTGGTTGAGCCAGTAGAGCACTGGAAGTTTGGAGGCAGGACCAGAAACTCAGCAGAGCCCCAGGCAGTGGCTCAGCCACCACCTTTACAGTGCTGGGAATGCACTGTCCCTAAAACAACCCCCGGAAAGTTGGGTAGGAGAAGCAGCTGGGAATGTCAGACAATTGGGTTGGCATCAGGGAGGCCTCACCCACCTTATCATGAGGCTCTAGTCTTGGCTAGGTCATAGGGCACAAGAGTGTCCTGACCCTGCCTCCCAACTTCCAGTTAAACCAGAAGCTGGACATTCAGGGGAGAGGCCAGGAATGTGGCCAGCCAGGTGCAGGGACATTACTGCCACAGTTTCCATTATGGCCCACAAGCACAATCTGGGCCACACAGTGTGTTTATTTAACAGAAACATTCTGAGAATCTGTTTGAAAAGAAAATCTTCTGTCCCAGACTTTGAACAACGATGGTTGTCATTTGTTGAGCACTTATTATGTATGGGCTAGCAACCCTATGCAGTAGGTACTATAATTATCACCCTTTATATACTAGAAAACTAGAGTTTAGAACAGTACAGCAACTTGATTCAGGCTATTAAAGAGACAGATCCAGGATCCCATTGCAAATAGATCTGACTCCAAAATCACATATTTTAACCATCAAGTATAGAAAACCAAAATTCTACACCTTTGAGGACACTTTTGCTGAATGGGATTTTGACCATATTTTGTTAGAACAGAATTCAGTAACTAGGCAGATAGCATGTAGTTTTCCTCTATCTGTCAATGTGCCTGAGGACAGAAGTAGATTCTAGAAATCAGATAAACAAGCCTCAGAGATAATCCACTCAGGAAACAGAACAGAAGGGAGTGTGTAGGTAGGAATGTGAATTCTGGGCTCATTCTATCCGGCTCAGAGTTGATTTCTCTCAAGCTTAAAGCATTTCCTTGTCTTTCAGAAGCAGGCATACATGAAATAGAGCTTCCATAAACTTTAATCAGAGCTCTAAATAAACAGGTCACATACTAATATCTGATATACCCAGGAAATCCCTGAAATGTAAGCACTTAACTCATGAGTTCTTAACTTTCCAAGTCACAGTTTAGGAGAGATACTGACTGATGGACACCAAGGAGAAGTACTGAGTACAAAGTCCTGGGAAAGTCCTCGAGACTTTCTGAAGAAAATGGTAGATGCAAGAAATGAAGACAAAGTCAACACTGCCTTTGTGTCTCATGGCCCTTAGCTCTTAAAGTAAAAGCACCCTTATGATTTTATAGGAATTTCAATAATAAATGTAATTGATAATTTAACATAATGATAAAATAAACATGTTGAGACAGTTTTACCCTTCCACAGAGGCCTTAAGAATTCTCATGATAATGACTTTGGGGGCATTAGGACTATTTATAAAAGATTCTAGTCAACCCAAACTGCTATTATTACTTCCCCTCCCAGCACCCAGGCACTCCCTGGAGGCTCCTATTTGTATATTTGTGGTTATTAAGGGAGCTCCAGCTTCTGGTGGGGAAAGAATGACATCAGGAAGCTATCAGCTTCCTGCCTCTCTCAAGGCCTCCCAACCCAATTGTCAGGATTACTCTCCCCTTAGTGAACTATGACCTAACAGCAGGTGCTCCTTTCCTTGTCCTTTTTATCCCACAGGCTTCTTAAAGAAACAAGGATATCCTTCTAGAACAATGGTCACACAAAAAAGCAAAATGAGGACAGTCAAGGACCATGCCTACCTCAATCTCCATCAAGAACTCAGAGACCTGAGATCTTATGAAATGGGTCCAGGCCAACAGGGTAAGCCAGCTTCTTATGTGATATAATTTAGAGAGAATTAAAATTCCAAGATATACATCCTCTTTCCTTTAGTCATTCAGGCAACCAATATTTACTGAGCACCTGCTGGGTAGGGGTTTCTGGAAGACAGAGATACAATGTTCCTAGGGTTGCCAAATTTAGCTAATAAAAATCTTGTATTTGATCCAATAACTCTCCAGTGGTTCTCAACCTTCTGGCCCATTAAATACAGTTCCTCATGTTGTGACCCACCCATAAAATTATTTTCGTTGCTACTTCATAACTGTAATGTTGCTACTGTTATGAATCATAATGTAAATATATGATATGCAGGGTAGTCTTAGGTGACCCCTGTGAAAGGGTTGTTGGACCGCCAAAGGGGTTGTGACCCACAGGTTGAGAACCGCTGCGAGTCTAAACGGTCATCAAGAGACTACACCTCCCCATATGGAACTTACAATCTAGAGCCCTATGCATTCTGTAAAAATTTTTAAATCCTTTGCAAAACTGATTTATCTTCAAAGTGTACAATGTGAGGGGGAAATACACAGAAGAGGTGAGTTTTGAAAAGGAAAAAAAAAAAGAGAAATTTCCAAGATAAGGCAATCAATAGAAGAAAGTCACAGAGGAAATAACAATGAGTGACCCAGTACAAGGCAATGACTACGTGTCTGCAACTTGGGGTGCAGGAGGTCAAAAAAGGGATCCGAATGAAGAAACTGTTGCTGAGAACTCAGCTGTTTCACCCGCATCCAAGTTAGTGACAAGTCGGGCAAAAGTGTTGTCAAGGTTGGTGAACATTTCACTCAAACCTGAGCAGAGCATCTAGTGGGATCTCATGCCAACTTATGGTTTGGGGTGGAAACCATACAAAATGTGCTGGTTTTATAGGGCTTAAACCTGAAAACAAGAAGATGTGGTGGTTTGAACCATATTTTCTTGGAATATTTTAGGCACTCAGGCATAAAAATTCCCAGTCAGGCTTGGGAGGTCCCATCTGAAACAATAAAAAGTTTTCACACTATCCTTTGAGCAACCACAAGGAATAGACTTCCAAGAGAAGTTGTAGCCTCTTCTTTGAATGTCTTTTAAATATGGTTGATAGATGGACCAGTTAGGCCATATTTATGTGGAAAAAACTGATTTGATATTTGGAGGGAGGAGAGAAGGCTGTCTTTTTCTGGGTCCATGTTATCCACATGGAAAAAACAAGTCAAGGTTTTTTTTATGCATGTCGATGTGCTCATCATAATGCCAGTTGAAGGATTCGTTCCGTTGGCAGAAATTACTTGGTCAGTGTCCTATGAGTGACTCCATAGCTTGAGTGAGATGGGAGGAGTAAAATATTTTTTTATATGTCAGTTATTAAAGTCACCTCAAATTTTCATGAAAAGATATGAAGCATTAATAAATAGGAAGTGCCACAAAAGCAGTGGCAGAAATACAGTTAGAGAAAGACAAATACCATATAATCTCACTTATATGTGGAATCTAGTGAACAAAATAAACTAATGAACAAAATAGAAACAGAGACATGGATACAGTCTATGGAACAGACTGACAGCTATCAGAGGGGAGAGGGAAGGGGGCACTGAATGAAAGAAGGTGAATGGATGAGCCAGAGAACATATACATGTATCCCATAAACACAGAAAACAGTGTGGTGATGGCCAGAGGGCAGGGTGGAGGTGGGCAAAGGGGGAGTGGGAAGGAATGGGGACATCTGTAATAGTTTCAACAATAAAAGTAAGGTTAAGAAAATAAAATTATAAAATCATTAATAAATAATTGGAAAGCCAAAATAGGTTTGGCTCAGTGGATAGAGTGTCGGCCTGTGGACTGAAAGGTCCCAGGTTCGATTCCGGTCAAGGGCATGTACCTGGGTTGCGGGCACATCTTCAGTAGGGGATGTGCAGGAGGCAGCTGATCGATGTTTCTCTCTCATAGATGTTTCTAACTCTCTATCTCTCTCCCTTCCTCTCTGTAAAAAAATCAATAAAATATTTTTTAAAAATTAAATAAATAAATAATTGGAAAAATAAAAAGAAGTGGCACAAATAGAAAGATTCATTTGCATGGCAAACCTTATCATTTCTCTTACTAGTTACCATTTTCTAATCTTAGGATCCCATAAACCACCCACACTATCTTATGCCTGGGGCAAAATACAAATTCCTATCTCTTCATTCCTTCCCTTTCCTTGATCTCCTTTGTCTGAATAGGTAACTGAACTGCCTCCTGGGACTGTATAAGTGTGGGGCTAGGGCTGTGTTGGGTTTTGAGCAGAACTGTCTCTGATGGCATAGGATTTCCCTGCCAGGTGCAAGAAAATAGACATGAATTTCCCCCCAAGCTTTTCTTGCAACTTCTGTGAGGCCCATGCTCTGAACCAGCAACCAAATGAAAATTTCTTCATTGTTTACTTTGAAGAGAGTAATATTCCTTAATCATCAATGGAAAGTCTATTGTTCTCACAATGAAGTGGAATTTCTTTTTTTTCTTCATAAATTTTGTATTGTTTCACTTTATTTTCAAGGGGGCTAATGGAGAGATTATAAACAACAGTTATGGTTTACAAGAGCAGAACAGTCGGAATCATCATTATCACTTAATTCATATATTTATTAAGTTATTCCAGGAAAATCTAGTTAAATTTGGACCTTGTGCCTTTGAAACACTTGATAATTCCAAGATGAGAAATTAGTTTAACTTTTTCTTTCATAGAAGAAAAAGAGTTTACAAATCTAATTAAATAAGCTTTGCAGGGGGTGATTAATCTTAAGAAAACAAACTGCTTTCAAACACTCCAGTAATAACTGTTCCTGAGGATTAATGAAATGATTGCAAAGAATCCTAGCCTACTCCTTAAAGCAGACCCATTAATGAGGACTTGGCCGCATATTATTGGTTCCTGCTTGTGTAAATATTTACTATACAGTAGATTCCAATATTCTATAATTCTGACATATCATACTTTATACCCATCTTCCCTCAAATTAACCTGCTACACAATGAAGGTTTCCCTGTTTCTCTTCAAGAGTTGTATGAATCCAAGATGCCAATGAGACAAGCCTAAATGGTCTTTTAAAGATGTTTAGATCCCTCCAATGTGTATTAATGACTTTTACATGTACATATGTCCTTTAAACCAATGGCATAATTGATTTTATTGGAAGCCCAGTTGGCCAGGACATTGTGATAACTATTAGCACTCATGTAGGTACTCCAAATCACTATCAGAGACCATGCATATGCCATATGTGGAGTAGTATGGTCAGGTGTCAAAGATTTGTACAGATAACCCAACTTATCCATGAGTCCTGAAGATATTTTATCTTAAAAATACCAACAGTTCATTACAGATCCCACAATCGAAACTCTTCATAAAGTTACTATGGTAATAAATGTTAGGTTCCTTTGCGTCCTCTCCTTGAGGAGTATTAAGTAGTGAAAACTAAATGTACAAGAATACATCCAGTTACAACTTATTTATAAATGCAAGCAAACAGAAAGGAAAGTTTGAATATTTATTCCTTCTACATACATATACTAAGTATTTACTATCTAACCAAGCTCAGCTGTGAGCTCTGAGAAAGAGAAATATTACATTGTGCTCACCACAGCTGATAGTCTAATTAGGGAGACAGATAAGTAAAGCAACGATGACAATAAAAGAAATAAGCAGTGGGTGCTATGGAGGCACAAAGGCAGACACCTAATTTCAAGCATCAGGGAAGACTTCCCAGGGGAGGTATTACTTGAGGAGAATTAGAGAGGTGAGAAGTTAGCCAGGTGAACCATCCCAGGTGAGTGGTTTCTATAACAAGAGCATACCTTTTGCAGAAGAAACCAAAAGGCTTATTAAGCATTATGTTAATGTTAAACATTAACTAGTAGTCTTTGAACATTTACTTTTCACAAAACACCTTGCTAAGCATTTTAGAGGCATTTCTCTTATTTAATTCTACCAATGCCACATAAGTTAATTCTATTGTTATTCCAATTGTACAGAAAGGAAACTGAGACTCAGAAAAGAAAAATAACTGCCTCGTGATTATCCAGCAGTCTGACTCCAGAGTCCAGCGGCCTCCTAAGCCTCCTCAGGTATGCCAGACTATGGAGCTTGTCTTTCCTTGATAGACCATGGGAGCCACTAAAAATTTTAGATGAATCAACTAAAAGTAAGCCTAACAGTATTTTAGTAAGAAAATGACCACCTTTCTTTCCTAAATTATTTTTTACTCCTTTGGTTCAATACCTCGATTACTTTCTGGTTAAATTTGATTTCCGCCTCATTTAGAGAAAGAATGGTGACTTTAAAAGGCCCTTTTGGGCATGTGGGTCATAAGCCCCAGAATCAGGAAGGAGGCAACAATGATGCTGTTTCACACAAGCAGGAATCTGTGCTGCCATGTATTACTCTGATAGGCCAGACAGAAACCAGCGTGCGTTGTCACACTGTGCACACATGTATGACCCATCATTTATACCTGTTCTCACTGAGATGGGGTCAGACTGCAAAAATCCTAATACTTTAAATTCAGAATACTTCAGTATTTTTTTTGCATTATAATTGATGGTTCTTAAAGGACAAGATTTGCTTAGAACCATGTTAAAGATAAAAGAGTGGAACTATAGTGATCTAAAATTATCTAATTTTCTGGAAAATTACTACTTTCTACAAGCTGCATAAACTTTAATTTAAAAAAGACAAGGAGGTCTATTCTCTCTCCTAACATCCATATGACATGCCAGGCTCTTTGGATTCTGGTAAAAGGAAAAGACTAAAGAGATTAGAATTTTTAGCAAAAATCTAAATATAATTAGGATGTAATGCTTATTTCCATCTTTAAAGACCAACAAGTGACCAACATTTGTTGCTTTTCCAGCGAGAAAGTAATTTTGACTTTAAAATATATGTAAAGTTCTCTTATAAACTGTAGAGCCAGGTTAAGTCAAAAGTAAGACAATGCACAAATCAGCTCATGGGAACATAAGATAGGAGGTTAGGTTTGGGGGATTTTGTTTTGTTTTTGTTTTTGTTTAGCTAAATACCACCAAAATGAGCATTCCCAGGATGCTTAATGCAATGCTTTATGTATCTGTAGCCAACGAAATGTCCCCAACATCTCATAAACAAAT